TAGAGCATAAAAGACAACGCAGTTGTGGAAGGTAAGTGAATGGATTCCTGAAACCACAGGATTTGCCTTAAAAAGTAAGAGCGTGTTTGCTGCCTGACACCGCTCAACAACACTCCACCATTGCGGCGGTGGTTAACAACCAAAAACGAAGCTTGTTGTTTAACGCCACACTCAGCAATATTCCAGCTATATACCGTCGGTCTGTAAATAATCGTGTCTGGACCAGACACGCCAGTAATCAACAGCATGTGCATCGATCTACGCCTTTGGGATACGATGACATGTGTCAACCACGTCAGCGAGCCTGTCCACCCGATCCCGTTAGTTGTTTCTTACGACAAACGTTAGTTGCTGAAGTCCAGTTCTAACCCGAGTCTTCAAGCGTTCGGACACCCAAGTATTAGACCACAGGTTACAGTGGCACGATGGTGCAGTATTACTCCTTTTGAGGAAATTAATAACGATTTATGAATTAATGATGTACACACGTGCAGAGAATCCGATGATTAAATGAATAGAGACGCTTAAGCAATAAGTGGAATTACCAACACAGTCGAGTAGTTCAAACATATCGCCCCAAACATTTCTGTTGAAGTACATTCAGCAAAATACGTAAATTTGACTGAACATATAATGGAACTACTTCCGCCCGCCAGCAGACATGGCAGTCCAGTTCAAGCAGATATGCAACCTCTTTGTCATAGGCAGAGCATAACCAATCTCGATTGGAACAGATTAAGCATAAAAGGCAAACTCGAGCTCAAACGTCATATGGACCAATCACCGAAAACAGTGATGCCACCAGAAGGGTACTGGATGACCTTGTTTGTTTCACCGCGCCGCCATGCGACGGCGGCCTCTAGAGAAACCAGACAATGAATTGATGAACCAGTGACACAATAGCCATAGAGTCACTATCTACATCCATTGCCAGTGACAACACCTACCTGAATTCCTTAGATACTAGCATCAAAAACACAGAGTGTACACGGAAGATATGTACTGTTTTATTTTTAAATGTATTGAAATATGTTCGATTTCCCCATGCTTGAGAATTAAGGCCAAATGTTAAGTTGTCGTCACGTTTTCTTATTTATGTTTTCATTTATAGTAGTAGTTTTATTGTACGATTATGGATCACGATTACGAATAAAAATAAAAAGTCCAATACCTATTGTTTTAGACATCGGATGCCTCGCCAGATCAACACACGCGATACTACTAGGTTTTCAAGCTTCTGTATACAAAAAGAGGTGAATATATGACGTTTAGTACATTTTGAAGAAATTCCGGTCTTACATAGTCACTAATTATCTTATTAAACATATTCATAATGACTCATTCAATGGTACAGCCATGTAATCGATTGCGGAGACCCAGAAATGGAATCTGGACACGTCAAACCAGTGGTTGATATTAAGAGCACCCCTTTGCAGCTGGATTCCGCTCGGGACCAATGAATATCCGATTAATTTCAGACATCTAAGCACCTGTTCAGGTTACGTGGGACCAGTTTCATACTTTCATCCTTGATAACACACTCGGCTAATATGTTTTCCAAACCATTCAGATTTTGGAAAAGGTGAGTGGTAAGTTTCAATACAACCCAGGGCAATACATATCTTTTATACGTCTGGGTACCCCTGTATGTCAAATGAGAAGACATGAGGATTTAAAAGGTTACATTGTCTGATCTGCCTGTGTGTCATTATTACCCGGCTATTTTCATCGCTGCTGTTAGCCTCTGGTCTGTTTGCTTTGATCCAGTATTTACACTGTGATGCAAGTGTAATAATGCTAGCTGCTGTATCCAGGTACAATAGGCTTCATATGTTGACCACTAGATGATGGATCAGTATTGAATGCCCGCCAGACTGATGAGGATGCCCCCAGGGGCTCCTGTGTCCCCACGTTTACATTTTGAACCAATTTTCCCTTGAGTCTGTATAAGTTGTTTGAGTTGACCAATTCTCCGTTACAATGTTCCTGCATGACGACACACGACTCTGTATGGCGGGACAAGATTACCTTTACAATCCCGCTGATTCCGGCTCTATTTAGGACCAGTGGTATATATTATGCACACATACAATATAACTCCCTTAGAGGAATTCTCTGAGGATCGAAGTTTGGCGTAGGCTGATATCGACTGTCTTGACTATGTCTCTCTGTGCCACTGGGCTGCCACTAGCGACTGTCAGTTGACAATACACTCCTGTTCCTTTCGAATGAAAAAACTGGAGTATGACAGGTTTGTTTCAAAGCGGAGTATACCCCGGAGTGTTTCGACATTTTGTTGTCTCCATTACATTGTTAGGCATGAGTTAAAATAAGAGGATATTTCTGAACGAATGGTTACGTTTTTCAATACAACAGACCCAACGTATATTAACATGCTAAAATGTGAATCTTGCAGTTCCTTGTGATTTTGATCGTTCGTTCACTCACACATTCATACCCTGTGACGGTTTCAAGTCAGATTACGTGAGGAATCTTCGCCTATTTCAGGGGCCGAGTTGGACAAATCTGGGGATCGGCTGTTCATATTATGTGGTGGTACACATATTGAGTGATTAAATCTGTGATACACCTTGTCCAAACAAGAGTGTTTCACAGATACCCTGTTGAACTTGTAATATGGAACATAACTGTCAGGTCTGTTTAGAACACCTTTATCATTCATCAGGTTTAGATGCAGTGGGCACTGGGGGGCCCACTCGTCTTAAATGCGCAGTTCGCTATGCAGGACTTTGGCGTGCCAGGAACCAATATTCGCTTGTTGATGAGACGACTTCGTTCTGAAAGAGTAGAGACAAGAATCCCACTGTATTTACTGTTCTTTGCTGAAAACAGCACAGATTATACAACATGCAAATGATGGCAACAACATATAGTTAAATATAGATGTTAGACCAATAACAGACTGGCATTATACAAGCAACATCTGCAGTCCGGAAAACGTGTTCCACTCGATGGCCGGGAACACATCATTATTTTAGTCCAACACATCAATAGTAACAATATTTTGAAATGTTCAAAGAGAGTTCAAGAGGTTTAAAACTAATAGCATTCCATACGTTCGGACAATCAGCCATCCGTCAACATAATTCTATTGGGAACAAGATCTTTAAGCTATATTCTTTTAATTCTATAATCATAGACCTTCTATCAAAAATCAATTTTTACACCCAAAATAGAGGGGATTTTCTTCCATCCGATAGATAGACAGGCCATCCACCTTACGTCATGTGTAAGGACTGTCACTCATACAGTGATACATAAACACAATATGTACTGCTTAGAGAGACATATATGTGTTTACGGACACTCCTGTATTGAGCAGAAACACTTCTGGAGCAAGCAGAAGCAGTCGAGTGATGTGCACCAGCCGACATTTCGTTCAAAACTTTGTAACGATTGTGACGAATACATACCAAACTTAGAACCTGCGTATTGATCGTACTCTCAAAATATGGTTCCAACTGTCAGGTTGCCATTTCCTGCCATTATATGTCATACATATCCAGTTGTCGTAAGATCTGAACGCTTTAGAATTGGCTTCAGAAGAGATGTATGTTTATTGCTATCTCACGTTTCACAGAACTGTTTGGGTTTAGCGACAGTTGAACTTATCTTTTAGACGTTATTATAACGTTGCCATGACCATAACACATGCCTCTAAAGATTGAACACCGGTCCTACGTTTCCAATATATGTCCATCAACTTAACTGATCCCTAGTATGGCGATTCACGTTCAGTTGTTGGTGATCTATAGCCCGGTATTTATACTGTATTGTCCTGTATTGTAATAAATGCTAAATTATGCTTACATGCTAGTTTTAACTTTCTATCTGTGATAGCCTAGTTGTTTTACTGTTCTTTGTTGACAGATTTTACAAAATAACTTCTCTCTATTATTACAGTATACTATTGTTATAGTCACGATATGGCTGCAATATTGCCGATTGACTCTAAATCGCAACTCACTCACTCACTCAATCAACTTAACGGTCTACTATAACATGCCACCAAGCTTCACACCACAGTTTTCCCTGCCATTCTACCGTTAGATCAGCACAGGATTACATACTTACTCTTTTCGCGAGGACTTGTCATCAACACATTCAGTCGGTTCATGCAATTCGCATCACTGTTTTAATGTTCACGCCACATCAATTTCAGGAAACGAAATAAACCGATTGTTCTTTTGCCTCGACATTATTAAGGTAGGCCAGGTTTTAGGGGAATGTTCGTTGGATTATGGATGAAAACTGTCATCAAGATTTCATTGGATTTGTTTCCCAGAAGATCTTACACATATATAGGACCTAAGCAGGAACGAGGAAAAGTAATCATGTAAACCGGTATGGCCTCTTAGTGTATTGTGAGGCAAAACACAAAGAATAGCAGTGCATTGAATGCAATTACCGAGAGTTTGATTTAGAAAGGGGACATCGTGGAGAAGTATATGTCCGTCCGTTAGCAGCTACACGGGTGCCCTGATAGGCTGACCGTTTCTGGTGTAATCAGACACATTATAGGCCCAGCTGGACATATCATTTATCCAAAGAGAGTTGTAGTTGTAGGTAGTTCATGGTCAGCCCTAACATGTGCTCCTCATTGAATTGGGCGGTGGGATCTCATGTAATAATGCAAGTACTGTTTGGCAGGGTCTTGATTACAATTTATTATCATTACATGAATCATCATGCATACAATGTTATTCAGACCGGATTTCGCAATAAATCTCATCACCAATGAATTAAACAATGACTTAATAATGCCTAGATACTACTATGTATGCAATCGCGGGTTCCCCATGGTTTATGATACATACTGTTCCACTGATGACATGATGTTGCATTGATGTTGACACAGTCCCGAGTTTTAATGTGTACAGCTGACGGTCTCAGTTAATTGGTCATATTCCACGTTAACAAGCATAATCCTCAAAGTAGTATCTAACCTCTTTAATCACAGTCCATGATTTCTGTTCCAGATGTCTGCGATGTCCTGCCCATGTTTAGAAATGTATTTGTAACAACGCTCTGAAAAGTATGTCCGTGAAAGTAAAAATCAGGGTAAGTGCTGCTGTCTGCTTACAATCAGTTATCTGTAAAAGAAGATGGATAAGTAATTTTACAGTATAATAACGTAAGGATTTCACAGCCAACTAGGGGCAGTGAGGTAGCCCAGTGGTAGCCCAGTTCGCTCGTCACGCCGAAGACCCGGATTGATTCCCCACATGGGTACAATGTGTGAAGCCCATTTCTGGTGTCTCCCGCAGTGATATTGCTGGAATATTGCTAAAAGCGGCATAGAACTAAATTCACTCACTCTCAGCAAACTACGGATCCGCGTTAAAGGTCGGGGTTCAAACCTATACACAGATGGGGTGTGGCCTCCTTACCTTGATAAAGTTGTCTTTTGATGCAAAGCAGTATAGTATTCAAAAACATTCCACGAAATATCACAAAACTGATTCACCGGTTCAGGCTGATATTAAGTCATAGTATAAAGAAATATGTTATGAACACTCACAGCAAAAAGTATGGATGCAGAAAGTCTACAAAACATACATTTTGAATATATATTTTTCATTTTTAAATCCAGATTTGAATTTCCCACTGTGTCAGTCAGGTGGCCAGAGGAGGTGCGTTTCCATAGAAACAAGCCTTTGAGGGGGGGGGGATGTTTCATTCAGGGTTTCATATTTCAGGCAGGCTGGGAAAATGCCACCCTCCCCCACTCCCGACACCATGCTGTACAGGGCTAGGGTTGTACACTTATCTGATGCTGACATATCTTTGCTGAAGATTGTATATTCAGATTTTAAGTCAAATTTGATGTTTCATATATGCTAATCAAATTGATCTCTTTAGTCATCAAAATATTTAGTAAAAGGGTTGTTGGACATTTACTATAAGGCACATGTATATTCTAGTAGTAAATTCCAAGGTTAACCTTTCACATCGGCTCTTGCCAGGCACCCATAGCCGTTACAGTCTTGTCACTCACGGGCTGATAACATCTTCACTGCTGAGGAGTAGCAAATGGGAGACTATTTGGAAACCCACGGAGGTTTTGAAGGTTTGCGCCCCGGCCTTTAACTGAAACATCTAATCTCAAAATGAACCCACCAGTAAACTAATTCTTTTCAAATAAGATGAAATAACTATGCAAAGGAAATTAGATAATAAGAGAGTTCCTGCAAAGACCCTTTCTTGAGCATCAGCATGGAGATACCTTGATTGTGGAGGTGAATATGTACATATGCGATATTGGCATCATTTAATCAAAAGTACTTCTTGCTTTTAGTCCGTTTTGTATTTATTAAGTTGAACTAGTCTTGCATAGCAATGGTTAAACGTATTCAGTACATTTTATTATGTGCAAAATGACGAGTGACCTAAATCTAGCTACTTCTTTTTCAGGCAGTACTCTGCTGTCTGTCAGTGCTGGGATTTTTGGAAGGTAAGTATAGTCAAACAAGAGTACTATCAAGTTAATTTTTTAGTATTAGCATACTACATTGAACAACATGCATGAAGCACAAAATGGTTGACATATCCGAGGGTTAATGCATACGTTTGAAGTGAGGGAGTTTAGTTTTACAGCTGCACTCAGCAATATTCCTGCTATAGGGTGGCGGTCTGTAAAAAATCGAGTCTGGACCAGACAATCAACAGCATGAACATCGATCTACGCAATTAGGATACGATGACATGTGTCAACCAAGTCAGCGAGCCTGACCGCCCGATCCCGTTAGTCGCCTCTAACGACAAACATGGGCTACTGAAGATCAGTTCTAAGCCGGATCGTCACGGGTCCAATCTCACATGAACAGTGTGGCAAATCTTGCAGAACAGTCTTCTAATAAAACAGAAGGCTCAAGGGGATAAACTTCCTGTGGGTCGGTAGGGGAGACTTGTGGGTCGTCGCCTAGATACAGTGTGGGAGACATGAAGCTGTAGGCGATGAGGCATGACAATTATAAATAGGACACTGACGCATATGTCCCAACAAATGTCCCAGAAACCTACTGCACCTGGGTGTTATGATCAAATTAATATTATTTACTAGAACAACGTCATGAAGAAAACGGACACTTACACCAAGAATCTTGATAATGAAACAAATTGCGCAACCAAATATTTGCAGGAAGGTTTTCAGGCAAAACGTAAACATGATTTTTCATGAATGGGAGTTGGCTAGTATCATCATGCTTGCTCAACTGAGATACCAAGGATACCCAATTAAGACACGCTATATTCACTTAAAGCCGACAAGTCCTCGAAGTGTAAAATAAGATGTTTAACGTCTTTTGGTAGCATTACGTGGTCGCCGTGTTTCGGCAAACACTTCCTGTTCAAGGAAAATTAGACGTGGGTCAGGAATCGAGTGCCTTTATTTGTCTTGTAACATTTTGTGAAACAACAGGTAATAGTGTAAACATACCATGACGGCTGGTGTATTTGTACCGTATTCTTTCATGTCACCTCAGTAAAGCAAGCTTTCGTGTATTTTGTTATTGCAGCCTGTCTTACGTCAGCTGCGTATATTCATGCAAATACACTCGAATCAAGTTAATGCTTCGAGCACCCGTGAAGGTCCGGGTTAGAATGAATCTTCAGTAATCCATGCGTGTAGTAAGAGGCGACTAACGGGATCGGATGGTCCGGCTCGCTGGCTTGGTTGACACATGTCATCGGTTACCAATTGCGCAGATCGATGCTCATGCTGTTGATCGCTGGATTGTCTGGTCCAGACTCGATTATTTACAGAGCGCCGCCATATAGCTGGAATATTGCTGAGAGAGGCGTAAAACTAAACTCACTCACTCATGTTTTGAGCGTTCCATCATTATAGGAAAGATCGGATTCCCAACAAGGAAAACAATGCGTGAAGTTCCTCTGTCCCACTTGTTACTTAAATGTTGCTAAAAGTAAGGGGCGATCTTCACACGAACTCACTCTCTGGAGATACAAGTGAAAATGTATGTCACTGAACTAGCATTCACAGTTCAGCTGACTGGAGTATTGTGACTATAGGTAGGGCGTTATTTTCACTGTTCAAGATCACCTAGTAAGCGTCATTAATTCAAGCACATTCAAGTATCGATCTTATCGTATACTTCTCTTAGTTCAGTCAAAACACAATCATGTCTGCTTTGCTCTTGGATACCAAAAGAGGCCATTGTCAGAGAAGCTATTAAACTTGAAGCACTTGATGTAATGTAGTAATTATACCTGAACAAAGGCTGAAATAGAATAACAGCTGTTCATACGCAAAGTCCTTCAGCACAATTCTACTAATATAGTAATGTGTTGTGCTAACGGATCATGATAAATAATATATTTGTATGTCCGTGCAAATAACGACAGCTTGAGAAACAGTAACTCATTTATAATAACTCTCTCACAGTAACTCCTCTCTCTCTCTCTCTCTCTCTCTCTCTCTCTCTCTCTCTCTCTCTCTCTCTCTCTCTCTCTCTCTCTCTCTCTCTCTCTCTCTCTCTCTCTCTCTCTCTCTCTCTCTCTGCGGTAAACTGCAATAAACTGCTATAAACGTGAACATTTACATTGACTGCGGTAAACGTGAACATTTACACTGACTGCGGTAAACGTAAATGAAAACATCTTTAGTTGTAGTTTCACAACGATACGTCAATGGGGCATTAGTAAAAGCGCAAGTGCAATGTATCCTGTCACAGCAGAAACGTTGCCTAGAGAATAGTATTTGACCGTAAAAAATAGTTTTGTTATATGGACAAACTAAACATATGTCGGGCACTTCACTATAGCGCGGTACAAATTGATTTTATCGTTATCGTTATTGACGTCAGGTAAAGCTTTGTACAGAACACGAAGCAGTAAGCAGTAATGTCCTTAGTATATCTGTATAAGTGGCACATCTTCCGGTATTGAAGGATGAGTACTTGCACTTTTGAAACAGTGCATTGTTCACAATACTCTGTGTATTAAAGGGATGCATTTATCAGTATACCTTTGTTATCAGATAGTCTTTGTGATATGAACTGTACACAATTTAAAGCCTATGTAATACATAGTTGTTTTTTATGTTGTAATATTCAATTTAATACATTAACAAATTCGAAAGGATTCAAGACGACTTATTTAAACATGATACTTACTTACTTAGGGTTTTGGCCCCTGTGCTGTAAGCCACCTACCTAATCGCTAGTTCATGCAACAATCTCTGTGTCTGCAGTCATCGATCCAACACACTCAGTCACACGCACACACGCACACGCACACACGCACACGCACGCGCACACACACACACACACACACCTAGACTCTAGCTTGTTTGTTTTCCTCTTAGACATCGCTTTCATCCTGCTGTGACTGTTGGATATATTGCTTATTCTTGGCCACAAATGTAACATATCCTTTACCATGTGTTGTGTAGTTAGAGAGCTAGATTTGTAATATGAAATACATATACATACAAGTAGAACTGCCCCATGAATCTACATTCCTTAGACCGTGTGTTGTTTATAAATGGCCTGTTAGGGTCGATATTACCGACAATCACATATCATTAGGTTTTCTTGTAGCTTTCTGTGAGTTCCGGAAACACTTTTGATATTGGGATGTTAACCTCTGATGAATTAATGATGTGTTGAGAACAACGTTTGATACAATATACATCACCATCAAATAGGCGCATTGTTGCAACACCTGCTGAAGAGTACTTTTCAATAACCATGGTGGCATTATTCTTACAAAATCAATAACTTGGTAGTGCCTGTTAAAAATATAATTACCACTAATCTTCCACTTTCACGTATATTGAAAGGAAGGATACCGATAAACAGTTCCATTTATCATAAAGCCATAACAAAATATTTTTCTACCGCTGCAACAATATAATCAAAATCGAAAATCCAAATATTTTTAAAAGCTGATGGTCCGTACTGATTGGTTACTTTGAGCCATTTGTGATCCATATTTGTCAGAGTTGTCACCCCAAGCAACGCGACATTACATGTGATGTAAATTAACATTGACAAAGCCGTTTCGCTTATCATAAAATTATCTCCTGAAATCAGAGTCTATTCAAAAGGTTAAAAATATGTTTTGTATTTGACAAAGTGATATTTCAGTGAAGCTATTTTTCTCACTAAACAAATACAAAATGACGGAAAGATTGCCGTTATGAGTAACACTACATAATGACTGTGGACATTGTTGATCTGATTGTGAGTATTCCCGCTCGGGTTTTTCTGATACGTATGTATTAGGTTGACGTATATTACTCGCAGTTTGTTAGGGAAACTAATCGCTTTAAAAGTTAATACTGTAACGTTACATTTCGTGCGTTCGTTGAAATGGCCAATGCTAATATGTTTAATGAACAAAGGTCCGTTTTTATGTGTCAAACAGGGCCAACAAACAAGATGTCACTTAAAATCAGTCGGTCACGTCTTAAAGATGTCTGACCAAAACTAAAAGCTTAAATATATCACGAAAAGAAACTTTGCAAAACAAATGTGACCCACGTGATGCCTGGTGGTGCCTGATAGATATATGGACGGTTCATAAGGTTGTTGTGTCCTTCAGCTGAGGGATTGAGTGAGCATGGTTTTACACCACTTTTCACAATATTCCAGCAATATCACGGCGGGGAACACCAGAAATGGGCTTCACACATTGTACCCATGTGGGGATTCGAACCCGGGTCTTCGGCGTAACGACTGAACGCTTAAGCTTCAACCACTAGGCTACCTCCTCCTTCAGCTGAAGCAATGCAGACGTTCATTCCACAATTGGACACGATGACCTGTACAGACCAGACAGTATCTTGAACCATCAGTGTAAAGAACAATCAGTGCCTGCCTGTGATGTCGCATCAATGAATGCATGCCCTCCGTGAACGGGAGACAACCGCACGGAGACAAGCCTCGAGGCATAGACGTATTGTAACTAGATCAGGGGAACCATCAACCGTCACCAACTCTCACTGCGTTCTACGTTATACGGAGATGTAAGCTATGCCTTTACACTCGAATGGTCAGTCGACGGTCGCGAAGTCAAAGAGTGAGCGGTCGGACCAACGTGACTCCAATCTATAGACAGCATATTAATACAATGATTAAGGCACAGCCAGGTTCTATACTCACACATATGTACTTTGCCTCAGTCAGTTACTTCAACTTCAACACAATACAGGATCGGCTTGTACCAGAGCGGGAAACTGTGTGACGGCGAATCGCCTCTGTCGAACAAATAGATTGCACCACTCAACTCGTAATAAAGGTATCTTTTTAGAATATTCGAGTCTGGCCTGATTTTGATCCCATGTCATAATGTATTGTCGTGATTCATTAAAGACTTTATCTGACCACGTACCCATGTTTATCACAATCACAAAAATATAGGACACCACTGATCGGTAAATCATCCCAAATATACATATCTCTAATATATAGTATACATTTCCTTAGTAAC